ACCGCCGTCGTGTTCAATTTCATCTACTCCCAACGTATTCTTCGCCACCGCCGCCGGCATAGGGTAAGTAATTTACTTTCTTGTCTTCAGGATTTGGGTTTCAAATTAGAATATGGGCTGTAAATCCTGAAATCCAAACCTAACATTTCATTCCCTCTCTCGCTCTACGGACGACGGCTCTCTGCTACTCTCACTCTGGGTCAGGGCACCATCAGCAGAAGAAGGTATATAAGTGCTGATTTGATTTTATACAAATTAGTAAAAAATAGTATTTGGTTGCACATTTAGGATTAATCTGTTTGGCAGAAAACACTTAGAGAAATATACTGTCAATTAAGAATGGATTGTAATTTATTATGTGTTCATTTGATGGGATTCGTTAGGTTTTAAAGTATAATTAATTGAAGATATGCAAGAAATTCTAACCCAAACGGCAAACAGCATGAATTTGTGGTGAAATGCAAATGCATTTCTGACATTTTTGGTGTAGTAGTTATGATCTTAATCGAGGACTTCTTTTATTGAGTTGGTGTGGTAGTTATGATCAAGGGTTCTTGATTTTAGGACTCTTTTGGTGGTTTTGATGGAATTTGGTGGTACCACAGGTGGGCTTCTTTGATTTAGTCTTTTATTAACTGGGTTATGTGAATTTTAGGACGTATCGGTAAACTGAAGTGGTTTTGATCTTTTCTTACTAATTTCATGATTTTTTTTTTCGAAGGAAAGAGTTTTGAATATTCATATCTTCTGCTTGGTCTCTGTAAAATCATGTTGATATTCTGTCTTCCCATGTTATTCATCATTATCCATATGTCTATTTTTTTTTTCTCTTGATTGGGATTTTTCATTGTTAATTGAGTAATTAATCAATTAATTGATCAGTTGTCCTTCTATAATAGATTACTGATTAATTAACAAGCTATAAATTTTATAATATTGGTGTTACCTTGCTTGAACTTCTGTCATTCAAGTATATATGTAGATGATTTATCATCTTTTCTAACTTATGATCTTTCTTTATATTAAACTTGCCTTGCCTCTTCCATATGTTCTCCTTGTAGTATTTGTGGTTTAGATTTCTCT